CAAAGTTGATGTTTGGTCGGGAACTTCGGTTGCCAATGGATCTGTTGACAGGATGCCTACCTTATGAAGAGTTGCCTGAGAATGTGTCAGAGTTTGAGAAGGTGTTATTGGAAAGGATGGATGATATCCACCATCAAGTGCGTTCAAACTTGAAGACGTCTGCTGATTCGATGAAGCTAACTTATGATAAGAGATCTACTGAAGTCAGGTTTGTACCTGGAGACAAGGTGTAGTTGTATAATCCCAGGAAGACTAAAGGGAAGTCTCCTAAGTTGTCTTCTCCATGGGAAGGCCCATATGACATTGTGGATCATCTCTCAGACGTGACTTTCCGAATAAAATGTGGTCGGCGAGGTAAGCCAAAAGTGGTGCATGCTAACAGGCTTTGGCGTTATCACAGTCCAGGACATTTCAGTTGGGACGAAGTGAACAAAGAAACAAATGACGCTGCTGAAGAGGTGTCACCTGAAAAAGCCAACGTCGAAGAAGAAACTCTACTCAGTATTGAGAAGGGAAACAGTGAAGCTCTTGATGAAGTTACTACCACTGATGTGACTGTTACCGATGATAGGACATTTACTGATGAAGCAGATGAACCCCACATGAAGCAGAAGCCAACGTGACGGAGACCAGTATGGAAGAAGATACGTCCCGTAAAATTAAGAGACTTTGTTGAATTGTAATTTTGTATTTGTAATTCTGTACATTTAATTAAGTTATTATTATTGGTTTATTGTATGTGGCTATTGTTTGGGACGAACAATACTAAGGAGGGGGCAGTGTTGCGTCAGCGAGGTCACGTGACTAGTGTCACGCCACGTTTTCTAGAAATATCCTCTTCCCTCAAGAATGCCCTAGCATTTACTAGATATGTGTTAGTCTTGTATACATATATAAGACGGTCACAACGTGACGTGGGGTTAGTGCAATGAGTAATTGAATGTATGCGGATAAAATATTGTTGGCCACGTGAGACGTGAGCGTTTGTTATAGAGCGACTGTTGAAATTAAGTGTATCATAAAGTTATATTCAGAAAGAATAAACCAGTTTTATTTAAGAAAGGACTTGTGTCGCTAAAGTTTCGTTGGAACGAAGTTACGGAAAATTAAGTAACGACTGTAACAATATTCTTAACTGTAAAAAAACTAAAAACATGGTTCAGTGAAAGCTCAGAATAAATGTATTCTTCATTATCTTGGAAATAAACAATACATTTTGTATGCTTATATATTTATTTTTAACTAGTTTGGTTTGAATTTCGCCTAAAGCTACACGAGGGTTATCCGCAACAGCTGTCCCTTATTGAGCAGGAAACACTCTTTGGCTATTATTTTGAAAACGAATAATAGGATTGACCGTTATAATATAACATTCCTACAACTGAAATGGCGAACGTGTTCGGTGACAGGGATTCGAATTCGTGACACTCAGGTTACAAGTCGAGCGCCCTAACCACCAAGTCATGTCTGTTTGAATATGAATTATTCTTTGCAAATTTTCATTGACTCACTCTAGTTGCCACACACATTCAGTAGTTACTTTTGAACTATGTATCAAAATACAAATTTTGTAGAGTACACTGCTTGTTATATATTTCTACGAACCGGAAAGTTTTCTAGTGGATAAGTGGTGATATTACAACACTGAAATCGGGAACTCGATTCCTCGCGGTGAGTTGTTTTAGTTCAAAGTCATAAAATGGGTTATCTGAGATCTGTCCATAGCGGGGAATCGAACTCCTGATTTTAATGTTGGAAGTCTCAAAACTTACCGCTGACTCACCGGGAGATCCTTTGCGGTGGACAGCAGGCAGATGACACCGTGTGTTTGCGCTAAAAAACAAACAAACAAAAAAAAACAAGGTAACATTTAGCAGAGATATTATGGACAAGTATGATACAACAAATACTCCAAAATTATGCTTGATATATATATATATAT